CGAGCGTTCCGCTCGCCGCAAATTGTGAAAGTACTTCCGATGTAATTATGAACAGAATTGATCGGGATAGTATATATCGTTGTCACAGTTTTACACTTGCTCGCCGTTGACATTGCGAAGAAATACAAGCATAAATTTATGTCAGGAAGCTGGCGCGAATTCCAAGGTAGAAATCGAAACGGAACGCGCTGCGAACTTTGGCGATTAATGTACCGGCACGTTTACATCGAGTGTAAATGCTACACATTATATACACGGGAGTAAGAGGTGTTACCTTCGATATTTAATGTTCTCTCTGCAGGGAAATTCTTCACACGTCTCGTTCTCGTGTCTCGCGGTCCGCTGATTCGTACCGCTTTCGCGCGCGCATTGTCAAATATTTTTGCAAAGTTAGCGTCCTACTTTCAAAATCACGTCGACGCGAGTAACGCGATTGAATTTTAATCACGAGAATAAAAAAATGCATATCAATAATTAAACGTTGTGAAGAAGAGATTGTAGGCGTAAGAAAGAATCAAAGTCACATCGATTATTTCGAAAGACAGAAGACGATCGTATGAAAAAATTTCGAGGATGGAAAGATATAAAAAAAAATCGAAAAAAATTGCGGGGATATATATATATATATATATATATTAAGATTTATGGGATCGATATATACGTAAATATCTTCTCACGACTCTTTCCCGAAATGAGTCGAGCGGGATTATTCTGCCTGGCGTGGATAAAAGGAGAGCTGCGGATGCGGATGCATGAATTAATGCATGTAACGTCGTTTTCACACTTGCTCTTTCGCGCGGTGCACGCGAGAGGAAGCAAGTTTTACCCGGGTGCTATCGAGGAGGGAAATAAATCTCCAGCCTCCCGATACACGTCGGCTTTCCTCGCACATTTCCGCCGCGCGAAATCGCGGTGAAGGAAGTGCCGGATACACGCTCGATCGCGGCGAAAAAGGAAGCGCGTCGGCGTGTATTACTTACGCGCGTATTGCGTCGTTCACGCAGAAACCCGACGTAGATCTTTTTGCGCGTAATCGATCGTAAGAAAGAAAGCGCGATCGATGACCGGTGCTTTCTATCTGCGCGTAAAGCGACGAACGACCCGTCTCTCTTTTTCCTTTTTCCGTCTCGTTCTTCGGATCTCGAACTGGGTCGGCGATTTAACGGGGGCTGATCGTAAAATCGACTTTATGACGCGTGAACGCACCGTTGATCCGTACATCTTCCGGATTCGAATTATTTTCTCGCGAATTATAGATACATTTAAATTAAATAGTACAAAATTATTTTGAGACGCGTGATTTTTGAGAAATTGAACGAAACAACCGGGATAACGACATGCTTTTCCTAACGTTTTCTAATAATTTTGCAATCTTTTCTCTTGGTAATGTAAATTTATCGGCTACGCATTACTTGATCGCACACGATTTCGTAGACGATAAATACGTATTCTCTCTTCTATTTTAAAAAAGAGAAGGTCGTCGATAACGCAACGTTAAACGAATTACAACGTATGAAGCCTGCGATTCAAGCACGAACTAATTTAGATCACCGTGCAATTAGCGTGTTTGGCGATACGATCGTAATAAAAATAATCGAGAGACGAGTTAACGGTATCGGCTATACGCACGGGTACTTAAAGTAGATTGCTGGTTTCGCAATTCATTCGTAGCTCTAAACGTATACGTGTAATTGCGAGGCGACTACACATTCGAGCAAAAGAGTAAAAATCCGCGGTCAGTTAAATATTGCCGATATTCAATCGCGGAGGGTTAAAGGATTCTATACGCATCATGCACGTGCGTTTGTGTGCGACACGAAACGGTAATCGCCAATATTATAATCGCTAATACCGCGAACCGTTGAACCGGCGAGCTTTCAGCGAGAAATGCTCTCGACGATCGCGTGATATGTGGTACACACGATTTACGTTGTAATTACGCTCGATAATGCCTACGCCTGCATGTATGCGGGTTGCGCGTAGAAAATAATTTGTTACGATTTCTCATTATTTTTCTTATCAGCTAAAACCTCATCCGGTCGAGATTTTTCTACCTCGGGGCAACGCAAGACGTGGCTGATTGAAATTTTTCCATTCTCCATCAACGGAATATATCATTTCGCCTCCTCCGAGTACTTGACATGGAACGAATAAAATTACTATAATTACTTATAAAATTGGATATAAGGAATTCGATATAAGGCACACTTTTTCGTCGCGCAAGAATGCCGCTCGAGACGAAACCTCGCATTTCGCACTTCGTTCTTGATGACAAGTTCAAACACGCTCGTAAATCTCAGCGTCTAATCTTTGCGGTTATCTACAAAAATATTTGAAGTATCCTGAAATATCGGCGCGTAAAACGCAAGGGCGTTCGACGTTCCGTAGTCATCTAATTAGTTGCACAGTTACGTCGTGTTGTCCTGGTGACGGAAAAGCCATTACCGATGAATTATATACCACATAAATGGTGTCGCGTCCAATATAACAAGGCGCATAAGATATCCTGGTGCACAAGATGTATCGCGGATAAAGATAATCCGTCTAAAATATGGCAGAGGTTTAAATTTTTCACATTTTCGCATTCGTTTTGCACGATTTTCCTTCGTAAGGAAATTACATTCATCTTCTATACATTTCATAAATTTTTGTGTAATGAAATTCTCTCTACAGATTGTAAAAGTTCAACGAGAGTCACTGTCGGAAATCTATTGAAATGCGGGTACTCGGCAATGCGACGTAAGGTGTTTTTATATCGGTCATAAATACCACAGAAGAAAGGAGAGGGGAAATCGTACGTTCTTCGCGAACATTATTTTTTTGACTACTCGATATGCGAGAAATATTTCAGGATCATTGACTTGTCGATCGGCGAAATTCACTTTCGATTTTTAAGAGAGGCAGCGGCATCAATCATTTTTTCTCGATTATTTCGTAACGTAACTGTACTTTCGATTTTTTTTATTATAGTTTAATTTAAAATAGTTATTGTCAGTTAAGGTGCAAAACCTTTCTGCTTGCATATACATGTTCTCAAAATTTTAATAAAATCCCTTTAAAAATGTAATAATTCTGACTATAAATTTACGCACGCTCACTCTTTATATATATTTTCGATTTTTATTTAAAATACAATATAATTTCCAATTTGCGAGATGAAACTCGTAACTAGCGATTTATGTTTTCATTGTATACAGATATCAAAAATACAGATTAGTGATGAAACTGTGATGTATCACAGTGGACGTCTCTTGCTTAATGTATTTATATAAGTTATTCGAGTTATTGTATGATAGTCTGGCGTAATAGAGAGGGACGAGTCTCATTTCAGCTATTGTGGTCATTCTTAGACGAGGAATTGAGCACAATTCGCCATTATGGCAGCATCCTTTTCAGCAGTTAGAAAAGGTTAACAGGATGGTCGGTTAACGAAACGGGGAAAGTGATGCTCGTGTCACATAGTGGCGTTTATAAAACGTTCGAAGGTTGGTGTTAGCTGCTGTGTCGATTATCCGACAAGTTCGGTTTCTCACTCATTACCTGTATCTGTTTATTAGCCGGTACACATATCTACGAGCAGGAAACGACATGACAAGTATTTTCATCTGATACCCAACTAATATCGTGTTATTTCGTTTACGCTGACAAGAAAATTGCGCCCAGCGTGATAAAGCTCGCCAGTTATTACCCGAGGTTAAACGAATTACTTATGTACAGTTTCATTCAATCTTAAATAATGTTCTGTCGAGGAAGCATCGCTTAATGTTGGCATTAATATCGTTCTATTGAAGATCGCGATTAAATTACCGTTTACCGAAGAGCATCTCTAAGTAAAGTACAGTACCTTCTTTTTTGGCTACATTTTAAATAATTTATGTAAATTGCAAAATGACGTAGTTGCCGAGCGTCTGCCATAGATAAGTAAATAAAGTTGAAACTTTATATGCAAATTCGATATGGATATTTAATAACTTGAACGAATTAAATTTAAGTAAATAATTTAAATAAAATTAAAGTATACAAAAGTAATATATATATATATATATATATATATATATATATGAAATTTTTTATGACCATGGCATAATTACAGTAATTTGTTAATCGTACGTGCTTATTCGAACATATGCGGAGTAAAACATGAGCTCAAACAAGGTTTTAAATTCATTCACTGTGTATGTAAATTGTACGATTGTTCGATCATCCGATATGAATAGCCGGGAGGGATAATTCGTAATGCGAACGGCAGAAAGCAATGCTTGAATTAGATTTCCATCTACTCCTCTTTATCGCGGTATGATTAGGCGCCGT